CAGCCTTCTTTCCAGGGCATCATGCTGCCCAAGTCTTAAAAGAAGCTGGAGATTCTAGGAAGCCAAGATGACGAAGGCATGCTGTCTGGCCAAGAGGGACAAGTCCCTGGTTGTGGGAGGTGTATTGGGTTCAGGGAGCAGCTAGTAAGCCCATCCGACTGGTTCAGAGTCAACGAAGGGCAGTAAAGTCATTGATTTAACTCTGGAAAGGATCATGGAGGTCATTGGGTCCAAACTTTACAAACCAGGAAACTGAGGCCAGGAAAGGCAATGAAACAAATCTGGGAATCTAGGTGGAAGCTGGGATATAGAGAGTGTTCAATAGCAGGCTGAGGAGGTTACGGTCCTGAGTGTCTGGAAGGATGATATTATGGGTGGGTAGGACCTTAGAAGAAAAAGAGATCTTCTGGTTTCACCATCTCCTGGCTGTTCTGGGTCTACACCTGAAAGGTAATGAGCCAGTCTTTCCCTTTACCCTGCTCTCCAATAAGCCAGAATGAAAATAACTCCCTCCTTTGCTTTTGTTCCTGGCATCACTCTTTTACAAAGACACTAGGAGCAGATCTGACAGTGTGGCGTATTTAAACAGGAGGAACTAATGCCAGCAGCTCTTCTAAGCTAATAATAAAATGCTCGCCAATTAGACAGGCACGCATAGATTAATGTGACAGACTGAAGTGTTGTGTCTCCTCAGCTATCGTGCCTCCTATTCTCCCCTCCATCTAATGCTACTCTCCTAGGACGCTCAAGTTGCAGGAGACACTGAAAGTTATGGAGATCAATTCCTTGCCAGTAGATGAACCTCCCCCCAAATTCCCAGCAAATGCCCATCTAACCTCTCTTGGAACTTTTCCAGTGACAGAGAGCTCATTCCTCTGTAAAGTGAGTGGAAAGAACACTGGTTCTAGAGTTTAAGGACTTGGGTTCAAATCCTGTCTTTGACCCTACCTTTGTGACCTTGGAAAAATCACTTAACCTCCCTAGGTCTCAGTTTCCTCCTCTGTAAAATGAGGGGGTTAGACTATATGGCCTTTGAAGTACTTTCTAGCTCTTTATCTATGGTTCTTTGATCCTCTCTTCAACTCCCCCATCCCCCCTAGTAATCTATTCTAGGCCTGACGTTCACTCTTCTTTTGTTTATAGCAGGGATGGGGAAAGAGAAGATTGGGTATTTAATGAGTAATTGATCCATTCACTTTTATTCCTTCCCTAACATGCCTCCAACATGGTCCTTTCTAAGTGGCCCAATGCTGTAAATTGTGTCAATTAGCTGCTTTCCCCTTTCTTAATTCTTAGATAGCATCTTTTTACATCCACCCCTTGTCTGGTTAGCAGTCACTTCCCAGTTCAATTCTTCACCCCTATCAGACAGTCTAGACAGCCAACCTTCCTCCCCGCTGACACTGTTCGACGAGTGATGACTGTTTGGGTTCAGTAATTGAGCTGGTTCTCACTCCACCAGATTGGATTATCATCCAGCCCCCATCCTCCCAGCTTGCAAGCACAGCCTGAGAGACTTTGTCACCATGTCCTTTCCCTAACGTGCAAGAGAGATAAGAATCCTTTCAATTAGGGCCCAGGCTTTAAGAATTGAATAGATTTCAACATTTCAGGGTTTTTCCTAGAGCAAATGCTTCTTGCTGCAATGATGAATGCAAACAAAATGAAAAATGGAAACATTCCAGAACATTTGCCCTTCTCTTGGCTTGCCTGGGTGATCTCTATGCCCAGAGTGATGGTCTTTGCTGACAGTTCTAACATACGAGGACAAGTCCCTGGTGAGGAAAATGTTTGTCAGGTGAGACTGACGAGCATGACGAACATTCTGATCAGCAGCTCACTGTCTGCTTCAATCTGGATACAGGTCAGCTACCAAAAACTTCTTGAAAATGGAGCCCGAGGAAGGCTGACCATCTACTCCCACCCCTCCCTCCCCATTCTCATGTTGGGGACGCAAGATGTCCCTACATGGAGAATAATGTGGGAAGCTGTCATTTCCATGAGATTCTGTTGCCATACATTTTTAGTTCAGTTTCTAATATGTCTGCTCCAAAGATACAATGTTGTTCCTAAGCCACGCTTTCTTTTGTGTAATGAACCCCAGCACATTTTTGTTAGGAAACTGCACTGGAAGTTACTGAGAGCAGAAACTATCTTATTATAATGTCACATTTTTACCGCTTTACTTACAACAATCCTATGCACCTGGTAGGGTATCACTATCTTATCTCACAGATAAGGATGAGGCTCGGAGATGTTAAATGACTTGCCCAGGGTCACATACCTAGAAAGTTCCTGAGACTGGATTCACACTGAGGTCATCCTGACACCAAGTCCAGTGTTCTATCCCCTGCGCCATCTAGTGGCCTCGTAGTGCATTCCACATATTGTGTGTTCAGTAAATGTTGAGAGGATATTGCTGGTGTGACCATGTCCTGCCTTCCCCAGGATTTTTAGGGGATCATCTAAGCCACTTGAATGTTTAGTGCAACAAGAGCATGACCTAGCCTGTGGACAGTTGGGATGTTCCATTGGCAACTTCATGATGACAAAGAAAAGCAAGGAAGATAGGCACCACATTGGGAAGAGCCACTATGGAGTAGCTGCTATGGGTGCACATGGATGAGCGTCCCATAGGAAAGGCAGGAAGGGGTAGGTTGGGCTCTGCCCAACTAGGGGGGCATACCTGCATCAGTGTAACCAGAGTGCTTTTGGAGGTGAATAGGTGATCACACTTTGGCAGCCATTTTGCCCGAAAAGCCATTTTAGTGGTGTTGAAACAACTCTGTTGTGGACACACAGTGTTCATGACATTTGTGTCCAGGGGCACTTGGTTTTGCTTTTTGTCATAACCGCAAGCTAGAGCCTCCAATCCATCCCATCAACTCCTGGCCACAATTCATGTGGTTGGGGAAAAGGGCAACCGGATCCATCCTCTCCATTAAATAGCAATAATAACAACAAAAATAATCATAATAATATCCTAAACTCATGTCCTATTGACAGCTCGAAAGGATCATCTTTATATAGAAGCTGAGATCCAGAAGATCTGGGTTCAAATCTTATCTCAATCACTTACTAGCTCAGGCAAATCACTCATTATTGGCTAGGTCTTGTACAAAGAGGGAGTCAGATCAAGGTCCCCAAGACTTAAACATTCTGTGATCCTACAAAATTTATGTTGACATTTTCTCAGATTATGAGGATATTACAAATGCCAGTTGGTGGTATCTGTGGAATCTTTCTTTGAGGCATTAATGCTACACTCCAAGTCCTCATCTCTCTTTCCCCCAGCAATTTATTGGACAATCTGCACTTAGGAGTCCAGATTATCATACTAAATGAAACAAATTGCCAAGTCTATTACTTCCTAAAACATATTTAAAAGTAACTTTCCCTTCCCTTAATCAAGTTTCTGATTAGCTCTTGCCTGATGACATGAATGATGAGTTTATGTTGCATGAGATCCAGGGCCTTGATAAGAAAACTTAAACATCCCTGAAAATTGCTGCCCTGGAATCATCACACAGACCACCAATCTAATTGGGGTTTTCTTGTGAAGAGATTTTTCCACTATGACACCAAGAGCCCTCATTTAGAAAAGGAGAGGATTTGACTTTACAGTCTCTGAAGTTGTCTCTATCCAGTCAGAGAAGACCACTGAATTCAATACGTACCTGGACAGGAATCCCCTCTATTCTTTTGAAGATCTTAGTTTTCAAGACAGGTAAAATCTCAAAATATCATCTAATCCAGAGCTTCCTCACCTGGAATGTATTAATTTTTTACAAAAATATTTTGAAAATTATTTTAGTAGAATCAGTTTCTTCTATAATGCTGCTGTGTTTTATTTTATACTTTTAAAGGTATTATTCTGGGAGGGGGGCCATAGACTTCACCAGCCTGCTGCCAAAGGAGTCCATGACACGTAAAAAGGCTAAGATGCTCTGATCAAGTCCCACTCCCTTATTTCACAGACAAGAACACTCACGCTCAGAGAGGAATTGGCTTGCCCAGAATCACCCAGGTAGCAAGTGGCCAAGTTGTCTGAACTCAGGTCTGACTCTAAATCGAACACGCTCTCCACTGCACCAAGATGCTTCCTTCTTGCTTGGAAATTTTAAGTATCCATAATTTCATTAGCAAATTTATGCCCTTCTCTGTCAGATTATAGCCTCTCTGTGAATTAGTAGATGCTCCTTGAGAATTAGCATGGCCCTAAATGGGCATCAAACTGTGGGTGACCTGCTGAGGGGCCTTCCTGAACCAGACATGTCCCAACAGCACATCACGCCACGGCCCATGAGTGTATCTGTGCTGGAAGCCTTTGAGAGCCCAGGGTCAGCTCCATGGCATGAGGACACATCAGAACAGGAAGTAGGCAGCCTACTCAAACATCCCCAACCAATGAGTCCTGAACTTCTGCCTGAAACATTTGAGTGATGGGGAACTAATGACATTGCGCTTTGGGACATATCTGATCTTTGGGTGGCTTCTCTTACCTTGAGCCTAAATCTGAATCACAGTTTAGATAACTCCTTCCAGCTCAGCAATCGCAAAGAAGCATTCAAGGCGGAGCCAATGAGTGGACTTCGTAATTTCCATTAAAACTGACATGTGGGTGTGAGGAATAGACCAAAATTAGCGACTATTTTTTCCGTTGACGTGTTCACAAAACACAGTATAATAAAAAAGATGATTGCACGTGAACCTGCAAATCTATTAAGTACAACTTGCTATTCTTCTTAAATATACAATACGGTTATTTTGTACACTTCTCTTTTTATTTCTCTTCCTCCCACCCCTGCCCTGGGACGTGTAACTTGGTTCTTGTGACGTTTAATACAGCATAGATACTGGAGGAGCCCTCGGGCTGATATCCTTCCACCCCTGACTCTAGCTCTAGGCTTGGGAAGCAATGCATGACCACGTGAGCAGGGAAGCCTGGGCCAGGCCAATTCCTGACGACAATTTCAAGTCATTGACCTCTTCCTTAACAGAATGAAGTTCCCGAGTCAAAGAAAGAAGAGTCTTTGCTCGATCTGGACTTTGATCCTTTCAAGCCGGACGTTACACCAGTGGGATCAGCAGGGATCACCCACTCACCCATGTCTCAGGTAGGGAATGTTCTTTTTGGGTGGGGAGTTGGCATGTTCAGACACACATTTCTCACTTCTTTGCCAACAAGGAACATGGCTGGTCGATTTTTGAGATGGACTTTGTCCTTTTCATATCTCATCAACCACTTTCCCTCTCAGTGGATCCCTTTTTCCTAAGAAAAAGGTAAGCCTTCCCCAAACCTTTCTATCCTGTTAGTTTTCTCATTCTGTGAAAGTTCCTTTGAACTGGAAATGTGGTGTAGTGGATAGAGAGCCGGCTTACAAGCCAGAAAGACCTGGGTTCAGGTCCTGCCTTTGACACAAACAGGCTGTGTAACCATGGGTGAGTAACTTAACCTCTCAGGGACCTAAGCAATTGTCTAAGACTGCAAGTTGCTGAAAAGTTGATGACCCTAATTGGTAGAAGGAATTTTCTCCCCTGGGAGTTCTCTCTACCAACAAATTCGCAAGTCCTATCCTTGTCTCTAACCTAATCTCTCCTATTCCTGGCTTCTCAGACATGATATATGTGAACCAACTAGGACACAGTTCAGAGACAGAGCTGTGTTTGAGAATTAACACCTTTGACCCTAGTGACTTGACTCCCCCTTTCCACAAGTCATTGTCTTCCCCTTTATCCACCTAAAAGGCAGCTTTCTATGAGAGAGCTATGACCCACTTACTTTTCTCATTGTTTTCTTCACCCCCAATCATCTTTCTAATTTAACCATGATGGATTTACTCTGCCTTTAAGGCTCCCATAAGCCCCTCTGGCACAGAGGATCAACCTTGATCTTTGCCTCATGGTGGTTTCCTAGGAGATCTGAGGGCAATTCCCACTTTCCCTCCCCTTCCTAGCTATCAGAATGAAGAGAAAGACATGGAGGGTTGGTTCATCCAAAATAATAAACATTTTTAATGTGTTTGGCCTCAAGCTGTATTTGAAGAGAATATATTCAAGCCTTCTTAGCTTTTCCTTGCAGGTATAGATGGTCTCTTGGTATTGGCCTAAACAGTGACATCCCATGTGGGCTTCCAAGTGTTCCCTTGCTCAATGCAAAGGAAGAATGGATAGAGTCTAAGACTTCAACGGAGCAAGTGATGTAGTAAAGCAGTATTGGCCAGGATGCCCAGACAGAGTTGGGAGTTGACTTGGTACGTCACTCATGCCTTCCCTATTCAGGAAGCTCTTTTTTTTTAGTAGAGGTTGTCTGCAGGAGGCATAATACCTCCTCAGGCTTTTCCCCTATCTACACCTGTCTTGAGCCAGGGACCACAGGAACATTTCAGGATAGGTGCTGAGATGCCACATGGGCCATTTTCATAGCACTTTTGTTTGACCACTCGGACCAAGGGAGTCACCTCTTTTTTCTATCAAACCCTAGTTGGAACAGGCCACAGACTAGGGGTTTTCTACAGACTCGGGATTTCATAAATGCTTTTTAATTTAAGTGGGTGCCCTCTGCTGATTCTCCTACCCCAATCCCAATTGGTCTGAATGAGCAATAAAAGAGGTTACATTCTGAAAGAAGAGAAGGACAGAGTAACCACAGAATTCATCTTGCCCTTTTATCTCCTGCCCACTAGGACCTGGATTTAAGGATCTCCATCATGTTTTCAGATAACGGACCTGTACCCTGTGCTGCAAAGCCCTTTTTCTATCTCAGTGGTTGAGCTCTAGGCAGACATCCACCTTTTCTGACTTTCAGGAAAGAATGAAGCTTTGCAGTCCCATGACACTGTCCTGTTGTCTTCATTATGCTAGCATGATTTCCCTTCCATCCAAAATAGACCCCTCCACCCCTTCCCTTCAGGGTTTGGGATTAGGATTCCTACTAGCAGCACTCTCCCTCTTTGGATCTTGGCCAACTGTCTCCAACATCAAGCCCATCCTTTAATGATCCTGAAGACTGAGAGTATCAAATGGCCCTTTGCTCTGGAGAAGATGGTGAGGCTTGTCAGCTTAGTCAGGTTATGAGCTCTTATGCCATGCAAATATCAAGGCATCGTGTCCTGGGGAAATAGAAACAGTCCGTGTGTTTGGTAGATGGTGCCTCATTCAGACAGCCATTTTTAATTAAATTGAATTTGAAATAGCCCCAGTCCATGCTGATGTCTTAAGAAAAGGGCAGAGGTGTTAGAATGTGAGAAATCGCAAAGACTGGGCCATCCTACCCAGCTCCACTGTGACAGGGATTGGGGAATGAGCCAGAACCCAATCCCTGGAATTTTCACCTTAGACTCAGAGATCAGTTCACCCAGTTCTGGAAAGGACCATAGAGACCAATGGGTCCATATTCCTCATCTTACAACTAAGGAAACTGAGGCCCAGAGAAGTTAAGTCACAGAGCTTGTAAGTGTCTATGGTGGGATTAAAACCCAGGTCTTGCTGAACCTAGGTACAGTGTTCTATCCACTGTGGCGCCTTGTCTCTCCAAGGTGAAATTTTTGATCTTGGCATTTGTAAATGATGGCACTAAATTAATGGAGCACTAAGCTTAGTACTGTGTTTTCTCCTCTGCTGTTTGACTTTAGCATTTCATTATGAATGCAAGGAATCTGTGCCAGTGCCACTGACAGGCCCAGATGGGGATGTGGTGACTGGTGGTGAGCCTCAGATGTGTGATGGGTAGAGACACCCACCCCTTCCACAGTTCCTCAATACCTCTACTCCCCACCCAAAGTGAGGGGTGAAATTCTGGATTGACACTTTATGATTCAGGTATTAGACATCAATTAATATAATGTACAATTAAGTCTTGTAGGGAAATTCCACTAATTACCAGTGAATTACTAGATCTGAGTGTCACTTGAGGCTTTAAACCAGAAGGTAGAATTGTAAAATGCAATTTCTTTGGAAATGTTGGACAAAGAACAGTGCCCAGAGCTTCATCTAATGGAGAGTGGCTTGTGCTGACAGCCCTATGGTCATCTGAACCCTTCCTTCATCCTCTGCTGAGTCACCTTCCTAATGCACACAATAGAAAACAATGTTGAAGGGGGTCTCAAGGGTCACCTTGTCCATCCTTTCTTCTGCCACAAAGCCGGCAAGTGGGACAAGATCGCTTCTGTCTTCTATTCCCAGCAGCTAGCATAGTGGCTGGCATATAATAAGCATTTAATAAATGCTTGTTGTCTGAGTGATTGCATACATGCACTGTCCCTTCTACTAGACTGGAAACTCAAAATGTGCCCATTTCAGCTTTGTACCCTGAGTACGTAATGCAGAATAAGGAAGGTTTGTTGTATTGAATTCAACAAGATTTGCTCTTCCTCAGGGCAGACATGTTAGGCTTCATTATCCATACTCCTTTCTTACTTTCAGTTTTTGATATAGTACATTGAGTAAAGCAATCCCCCAACCCTGCCCCTTGGGAGAAGCCAAGTGGCTGCTGGACTAGGAGCCCACTGAACCAGACATTCCCACAGACTCTTGTTTAAGTGGACTGACAATATTTTCTTTTTTCCTTTCCAGACATTGCCCTGGGACTTGTGGACGGTAAGGCTTTTACTAAGGATTGTATATGCTGATACCTCTGGGTCACCAGAGAATCTGTAATACTTGAAATTCTTTGTCCAAACTTTTGTGCAAGGAAAACTAAAATTATGTTATTAGTTGGCAATCTGATCTCCCTAGAACCATTACCAAACTGCTGAAGGTACACTGCATTTCTGAAGGTCTGCCATTCATTCAAACTATTGGCCACCTCAAGTTTGTTTGCTTGTTTGGGGTCTGGATCTGTGATTTTACTAGTATGAGTAGGGGGATTCCCAATGTGGAAACTCCTTCCCCTGACATATACCAGCAGCTCATCTTAGCTCATAGCCTTTGGGAGCTGACACTTGTAGTGTGTGTCAGAGGCAGGACTTCCTGACTTGAAGGTCAGCTCCCTACCCACTCTACCACCCTCACTCTCAGCCTTAAGTGGCCAAAGCTTAACTCTGAATGCTATGGTCTTGGGTTGGAAGATTCATGGATCATAAGGAGAATGAGAATAGAAAACCAAGGGTTCACAAGGCATGGTAACAGCAATTAATAATGATGATGATGATGATATTGATAATATAATAACAAAGTTAGAGTTAACCCTAACAGCAACAACAACAACTACTACTACTACCACTGCTGCTGCTACTACTACTACTACTACTACTACTACTACTACTACTACCCTTTACATAGCCTTTCCAGGTTTACAAAGCACTTTACATATATTATCCCATTTGGTCCTCACAATAGCCCTGTGAGTTAGATGCTATTATCATCCCTTTTTACACATTGGGAAGTCAGGCTGAGAGACAATGAATGACTTTCTAAGGGTTGCCCAGCTAGGAAGTGTCTCAGGCAGCATTTAAACTCAAATTGTCCTGACTCCGAATCTGGCTGTTTCTTCTCTATGCCACCAAGATGTCTAGAACACAGGGATCAGAGCCTAGACACCTAAGTCTCTGTACCTCTTGCCATGACTCCAGTTGGCATAATGTCACCTGGGGGTGATAGAGCGAGATGAGGGGCTTCAGAATGAGGATAAAAAAATGTTTAAAACATAGGTTGCTTTGCATCTGAAACAACTGATGTCTAATCATCTTCTATAACCAGGCGTTCTTCACCTTTTTGTGTGTTCTGCTGCCTTTGGCAGCAGTCTGGTGAAGCTAGATTCTTCCCTTCTTAGATAATGTTTTCTTTAAAATCCATAAAATCCATAGATTTGCAAAAGAAACCACTTATACTGAAATGCAGTGACCAAAATATTAAAAATATATTCAGAGACCTCAGGGTAAGACCCCACATCCTGGGCACATCTTAATGTTCCCCCATAGGATGTGTGCATCTTCCTGCCTGGCATTTAGGAATGGAGAAGAGATATTATAACTAGAACCTGGGATCAGCCACAAGGCTGATGCCTCCCAGATTGTTGACGTAAGGTTGTTAGGGAGATGGCATCAGTGCCAAGACAGCTGATAGTGAAAGTCATTTCCTGCTGGCCTCTGCAGGGTAAGCCAGGGAAGGGGAGCAGAGCACAGTGTCTCTCCAGACTTTGGATCAGACCTAGGTCCAAATCCCCAGCTCTGCTTCTCTCTTGCTGTATGATCATGAGCCACAATGTCATTTAATCTCTCTGAACCTCACCTGCAAATGGCCGTAATAATGACTGTACTTCACAGGCTTGTGAGGAAAACACTTTTGTCAGGTGGGTAGTTCTTTATTTGTAGATCTGCTGTCCAACTCATTCGGCCCTCCCAGTAAGATTCAAAAGTGAGAACTCCTTTTTTGGCCAGGGCCAGACTCAAAATGAGTGGTTGGTAATTCTAGAAATGGAGATGCACCTTCACAGTGAGGCCATATTGCTTCTTGTTTCTCCTGTTAGAGATTGTGTACACATTGGTAAGCCACCCTCATGAAGTCAGTACTGGCTTTAAAAATTATAACTCTGTTCCTTTCATCAGGCAAAGGGATGGAACAAAGCCCAAAGGCACCATGGCTCCAGATGGGAAACTACCCCTACTCCTATGCATACAAGCCCTAGCTTCCATCTAAGCAAGGCTATGGTGCCACCTCCCACATGAGACTTTTTCTGACCACCCCCTGTCCCCTCCTCAGTCTTGTTAACTCTCTCTCCTTCTCAAAATTAATGTGTATTTTCTTTATTTTGACCTACCTGCAAATATGTTGTTTCCCTTCATAAGAACGTAAACTCCAGGAAGGCAAGGATTTTCACCTGTGTCTTTGCATCCCCAGAGCCCAACATGGTGCTTGGTACACAGAAGACCCTTAATAAATCTTTGCTGCCTTGAATTTGTCATGCCCAGCTCTTGTCTTTGCCGTGTCTTTCTCTTGCCTCATGCATCTGATTTTGCTTCCCACAGACTAGCAGTGACCTGGTCCAGCCGGTAGGTTGACTTTCTGAAATTTCTTGCTTTGGTTTAGTGATGAGTGTGCAGTGCTTGTGTTCTTGTCCTTTCCAAAGATTAGCAGCTTTTCTCATGACCTTGCTGGGTGCCCCTCTAGTCTGAGGCACTTTACCCAAGGCCCTCACTAACTTCTCCTTGGCATTGATGTGACCGTGCAGACATTGACCTTTGTGTTTTCTCACCCACTCTTGCCATGACCAAATTCATCTTACTTTGTTTTTTCCCCCTTTGCTCTTCTGCCTGCTCTAAAGCCTGATGCTTCAAAAAGCCTTTCCTTGTGTAACCTGATCATGGAGGAAACTCCAGACCTTGGGTCAGCCGAAGACATTCCTGACCCCCAAAGTGACCTAGGGTCATTCATCTGGGGCCTAGATGTTAGCGCAGACAGTGTCAGCCAGGAGGTCACAGCAGGTGATTCTGGAGAGGAATCCATACCTGAGCCTGGGGCAGAGCAGAACACGGCATTAACCACTGAAGCGTTGCCTCCTGCCATCACAGAGGGTGACCATCAGGCAGGGCCAGCTGTCACAGAAGAAAACTCACTGATTTCCCCAGAGGCAGAACCAGAAGCTAGATTTGCCATGGGTCTGAGTCCAGAGATGGAGCAGCCTTCTGAATCCTCACTAGACTCTGAGACGCCAGTTGTGGAAATTGGAGGCCTTCAAGAAGAAATCCACTCAAGTGTGGAAAAAACAAAGGAGGAAGAAGAAAAGATGGAAGAGTCGATGTGGGAAAGCTTGGAGACATGTGAAAAGGTAGACACCAGCAGTGTTAGCACCCAAGGGATAGAAGGTGCAGAGGATTGTGAAGAGGAAGCTTGGGAAAACCGAGGAAACAGAGATCCACAGCAGCCTGAGGCAGGAGGAAAGGGAGGCCAGGAAGCATTCAGAATCACAGAGGGGAAGGTTGTTTGTGCGAGGGGGGTCTCCTCAGTGGAAGGTTCTTTTGAGGAAAGAGAACACAGAGGCAAAGAATTAGCGGGAGTAGATCCTCCAGGTGCATTTAGAGGTAAGGTCCAAGGGTTAGATATTGAGGTGCCGCTAATAATCAAGCAGTGTGAAATTGTCAAGGGCCTTAAAATTGATCTTGAGAATGCCATAGGCATCTGGAGTCAAGAGCACCAGACAGAGCACATGGCAAATATTGAGGGTCCTAGCACTGGAGGACGGACTTTAGTTATGGAGGAAGGAATAGTCATTTCTGCAGTTCCTCCTGACCTAGAGATGGTAGATCACTCAGGGCAAGACCCTATGGGTCTGGCAGACGTTCATGGTGATTCTGGCCTGAGCAGTACAGAAGAGATTGCTCATGAACTTGAAGGTGATAGTGTCAGCACACTCCAAAATGTATCCAGTATTGATGACCCTAAAGCTGCCTTCATCCCCATCCAGGGTGAAATGGCCCTGCCAGTCAGAGCTGAGTCTGCCTCTTCTGACAGTACTGTGGCCAAATGTAGCAATAACCTGTGTGCAGGTCAAGCAGAAGATTCATTGGGAGAAGGGATTGAAACTGCAGTCCCCCGAGACAGTGGAAATAGCATTAGCAAGCCAGAAGGCTCAGAGGCAGATCCTTGGGTGATAGACGCAAATCAGATTTGGCTACCCAACTGGGACCCTACTGTGAATAATGAGGATTCCTGGGACTTCAGTGGTCTACCAGATGGCCCAAAGAATGATTTGGATAATTGGCCTGAATTTGTTAATTGGTGGCCCACCCAAGACATGGGAGGCTCCAGTAGTTGCTGGGAAGATGCAGGCCTAGATGCCAACAAGAGGACGTTGGAGGCTCATTTGAAAGCAGGGTTATCTGGGGAACAGGCCAGCATGAGTGTCTATCAGCAAAGCCAGGATTTAGCAAGACCCATGGTTCTGTTCCACGTGGGCAGCTCCCCAAATGCTAGCACCGAGAGTTCAAATAGTCCTAAAGACAGTGAGACCAACAGCTCAGACTTATCTGAAGATGAGATTGCTAATCGGAGATATGGAGTATTGTACCAAGAAGTAGAGGCTGAGAAAGAAGAGGTACCTACCCCGGTGTGTAGCCTAGCCTTGCCCCAGATCCCCATAGGCTCTGTTTCCTCATGTCTTCTACACATCCATGGTCCATGCCTTCCTTCTCTGAGTGAGCCCTCGCTGACCTCCTTGACAAACTACCCCAATCCTCTGAACTCTGTGCAGCCTGACCATACAAATAGGTTGACCAAAAAAAGGTGATCATTCTAAACAGTCCTGGTCTGTGCCCCAGTCTCGGGTACCAAGTGTGGAGATGACTGAATGTTTGCCTTTCAAGCTGCCGTACTATGAACAAAGCAGACATGATTCATAGGGACACTGATTTAGAACAGGACCATAGCTGTCCTCTCCTCCAAGCTCTTCTTTTGACAGGAGGTAACTGAGACACAGAGAGGATAAGTAGCTTGCCTAAGGTCACACAGGTATAGAGATAGAGTTTGGGTTTGAACTCAGATATTCAATCCAAGTTCTCCACTTACTGCTTTTGTCTCTGCACTCTAGTTGGTGCCCTCAAAGAGCTTACAGATGAGGAATGCATGAATAACTTATATTTACACACACACACACACACACACACACTGGGAAAATCTTGCTCTGGGTAAAATTCTAACATTGTTGTTTACAAAAACCAGGGAAATCTCTTCTGACAATGACTAGGACAGTGACAGTCATAGCCTGACAGTAGAGAGACCCCAAGGCTCACCTTGGGAGCTCACCCCTTAGGCCTTGCCCTATCACTGCTGAGGGAGAAAACAGCCACCAGAAATTACTGGAAAGAGCATTGACCTTTTTTTGTCAGCAGCCTATTAAATGTGCTCCCTTGTGCCATCCTCCATCTCATAAGTACTCTCGCTCATAGTCTTTCCCCTTTCCTCCATTTTGGTTTCACTGGTGATGTGTCGTTGTCTTTTCCATGTCCACACATAAAACTATATGAATGTTAACAAGGGCTATGAAGACTTAACAAGTAATACATTCTGGTCTCCACTTCCACTTAGGCATCCAGTGGGACCTTCAATGGATTCACCCAGGTAAGAAATAAGTGAGTCTGAGAGTGACTCTGGGCTAGCAATGACTGAACTGTGCATAGATGAGTCTCCAAGTGAGTAGATCAGATGCTTCTTCTTCAAGTCGGACATAGATCATAAATGGTAGATTCATATGACTTGAAGCTTGATGGGTCTTTGGATGCCATAGAGTCAAACTCCCACATCTGTAGATGAGAATACAGAGGCCCAGGAAGGTTGTGACTTGCTTATGGTCAATAGGGAATGAGTACACAAAGTGATCCCTTAGGCTTCAAGACTCATCAGGTTTTGTTCTCCAAAGAGGGACATGGGGCTGCTATTGGGTGACTGGGGGAAGAAGATAAAGGGGGGATAGATTTTGGGGAAGGCATTCACAAAGTTTCTGAAGAAATTCCTCCCTAAAGCCCAGTGTAGAAGTATGGAAACAAAAAAATTGTAATAAAAGCCATAATGTATCCAGGGACGTGATGGTGCCACTGTTTTCTGCCCTGCTCAGACCAGAGTGGAGAACTGTATATTTTAGGAAGGACATTGAGAAACTGGGAAGTGAAGGACTTCAATTCCATGTCATATGAATATCAGTTGAAGGAACCGGGATCATTTAACCTGGAATAGCCTAGATTTAGTGGAAAAGGGGGGCACCTCAGGTATTAGTCTGGATGCCTCATGGAAGAGGGATCAGACTTGGGCTTCTTGGCTCCAAAGGCAGAATGAGAATCATGGGTATGAGCCACAAAGCAGTAAATGTAGGCGTAATATCAGGACAGAAATGATTAGAGCTGCCCCTGCAACAGTGAAATGGGCTATTGGTAAACAGAGGCCAGATGACAACTTATCAGACAGGGCCGTTTTGTCAGGTAGGGATTGGACTAGGTGGTCGCTGAAATCCTTTCCAACTCCAAGGTTCTGGAATTCCCCGCTACAAATTGGCTTCCAGTGCCACCAGTGTCTTAGTCTGGCTCCATCGGTGTGGGGGTGGAGGCTATCTCACAATCTCAGGATTGTACGGACCCCCCCCCCCCCAACTTGAAGAGGATGTCAGGGTGGTGCAGCTGCCAGAATGTTCATTGGTGAGGTCCAGTCATACTAAGTGCAGGGATAGTTGTCACCAGCAAAGAGTGAGCACACATAAGCACCCAAGAATACTCAGTCCTTTTAAGGGAGATGGGCCATTTGGAAACATGATCTTTGCCTGTGGCTTTTTGAGAAGCTGTTGAGACAGGAAGCATGATAGCAGCAGTCCTAGAATCCCAGACTGGGAAGGGACCTGAGTGACCACCTAGCCTTTACCCTTTTTTCTGTCATAAGCTCCTCTGGCAATCTGGTGAAGCCCACAGACCCTTCCCAGAGTTATGTTTTTAAATGCAAAAGACAAAATATTTCAGATTACAAAGGAGACCAACTATATTGAAATATTAGTTTTTTTTTCCTTAAAAGCCAAGTTCATGGACTCTAGACCCAACTGGACTCCAGTCTAACTGAAACACTGAAAAAAAAACAGATTCAGCCCAACTCAGACCCAAAATGAATCCCCCATGATAGACCCAACTGGTGGTCTGCCATCATCTTCCTGAAGGCGTCTGGTGAGGGTCAAGCTGCTACCCCTCCAAGGTAGCCCCTCCTCTTTGTGATTAGCTCTGTTGGGGAGTTTTCCTCGACATCAAGTCCAAATTTGCCCCTTTTCTGCCCATTGTTCCTAGTTCTATCTTCTGAAGCTAAGATAAACATAGGCTAATCTTTCCTCTATGGTGACAGCCATTTGGATGCCTGAAGATAACTATCATGTCCCCCTGAGTCTTCTCCAAGCTAAACATCCTCAGTTCCTTCAATAGATCCATATGTAACATGGACCCAAGACCCTCGACCATCCTTTGGCCCTTGGTTGGACCATCTCTAGGTTATTTGTTTCCCTCTTAGATTGTGCCTTAAACTGAATGCATACTCCAGGTTTTATCTGCTCAAGGCAAGCCTGATTTCCAGATTAGGACATCATCCTTGTGAAGAGGATGTCCTCAGATGGGATTCTGGACTTTGGCCGAGGAGAGGAGAGGGACAAAGGAGTGCTCAGCCTGAGCCTTCCTGGTCTCTAAGGCTAGTAGGCCTCATTGATCCATTCACGAGATGCTCAGCACACAGGTACAGACACAATGTGTCAGCCCTTATCAGAGTCTAGGGTCCATGACCTCACTAGTTTCTAGTAGATGCATCATTTTGGATCCCAGAAGGTATCAAGTTGGGCCTCAGCAGGTGTGCAGAATAAGGCTGGCAGCAAACCAGCCCTGAAGAGAATGTATTTTTAGGAATCTTTTTCTTCTCGTTATGTTGTTTCTTCAAGCCCAAGTTGTATATTCAGTGCAAAAACATAAGAGATTGTGGCTGAATCTGTTTGGGTTTTTTTTTCAGTTAGACTTTTTATGTAAATTTAGATGACTTCTAATCATAGCCATTGAGGTGACATTATTTCAGTGCTGTCTTGGGGAGTTTTCAAAATGCTGGTAATTTAAGAGCTCCTTTTCTTCCCAATACCCAGCCTCAGGACACTTCTCTCTTCACCATGCCCACCAGTCAGACTGTGATGGATACCTCGGTAAGTAGTTCTGGTTTGCAGATGAGGGGAAGGTGAGCATTTTTTTCTCCCTTGCTTCTTCTGACAACTCATTCTCTCAGGGATGGAGATTCATCATGTTGGGTTCCAGGTACCTCTTTTCCACACAAACAGGTGGGAAAGCTGGGAAATGTTGTTTCTCTGACTTCTCAGCTTGGCCCTAGCCACCTGTAGAACAAAGATTCTGAACCTGGGTCTGTGAACTTGGATGGGAAAAAATGTCCATCTTTATTTCCCTATAATTGGTGTCCTTGATAATCCTATGCATTTTATTTGATGTACTTCAAACCATTCTCCTATGTGGATTCTGTATTGATATAAATTAATGCTGTAAGAATCTCCAGAGGCCACTGAATCCAAGCCTCTGATTTGACCAGGGCCAAGTGACTTGCATAGGGGCATCCACAGCTAGATTGCATAGGAGGCAGGACCAACACATAGGTCTTCCTGACTCCAAGCCCATTACTGTACCCCCTGGGCCACTCAGCAGCCTATCTGATTATCTTTCCTGTCCCACATACACTGTCCTGTTTATATGGAGCACTGTATATATAATATCTGTTGTTTTCAGTTGGAGATATTGTTTTTCCATGAGGACATCCCATCTTCACCTATTTCAGCATTTGGACTTCTAAACTGTTCTTCCATAGCACTCATTGTGCTTTTGGTCATTCAGAGCTGGGACGTCTCAAAGCAGGTTTCTCCCATGCTGTTTTCTTTGTAAATTGATGCTTTCTGGAAATATGTGCCCTTCACCCTCAGGGAAATCACAGAAAGAGGGCCTTTTTTTGTAGCATGTTCCAGGTTAGCACACTGTTCACCAAATGACTATTTATGGAAGCTCAAAGGACCCCAAAACCTTGGTGTCAGCAGGAAAGCCATGAGCCCACTTAGCAGGGACATACTGTAAGGTCCAATGGTGTCAAGTTTGGAAGATCCACCAAAGCCGGTCAGATGGACATTACCATTAGCCTTAACTGCCAAACACGCCTTGGCGATTTGGGTTCACTTTTCATATGTTCTCTTTCTCCTAACCCATCCCCAAAATAAAATCAAATAAAGGCTGAGTCGGAAGAAGTGCCCCCCACAGAACCCAAAGCTGAGGAGCCTTTGGCTGGAGCTCCTGCTGAGGGCCAAGCCATCCAGCCTAGTGAGGCAGCAGAGGAGGCTGAGGTGAGTGCCAGCTTCAGCTCCTACCCATCCATGCCATCCTCACCTCCCCACCACCCGAGTCATCTTTTCATTCATTCATCCATTCAGCTCCCATGCAATCTTTCTGCTTTACACACCACTGTGAGCGCCAGCTTCCACCACGAATGTCCCAGCTGAGAGAGAGTTCAAGTAGCTTTTGTTGTACCTTGACCTTTGAACTCCCTTCCACTTCTCATCCGTCATTCATTCACTGACTGATGGCCCTGCTTTTCAAGTAAAGGTGCTCAGACTACTAGAAGATAGCAGTTCTGTTCAAGCAGCTATAAGACTGACTTCTTGGATAAAGCACACTGTGCCATTGACCCTTTTTATCGGACCAGATGTGCCTTGTGGTCAAATGGTTCTTAGGGTGTGTGTGTGTGTGTGTGTGTGTGTGTGAGAGAGAGAGAGAGAGAGAGAGAGAGAGAGAGAGAGAGAGAGAGAGAGAGAGAGAGAGAGAGATGGATGATCCCTTTAGTAGAATTCTAATAACAATTCTCAGAATTATATTTTTAATAAATAAAATAAAGCGCACAGGATTACAAAAGAAATCGATTATATTGAAATACAGTTATCAAAAAGTTTTTTTTTAAAGTTCATAGATTCCAGGGCAAGAACTCCTAGACAATGTAGACAATTCTATAAGGATTAGGAGAGAAATTGAATCTGTGATTTCACTGGGATAGGGAACATCTGGATGAAGAAACTTCCTAAGCCAATGCAGGTCAGCTCATGCTGTTTCTAATCTTAGAGAGCTTCCCAGAGCACTGAGATGGTCAATGATTTGCCCCAAGTGAGAGACATGACTTGAGCCCAGGTCTTTTTGACTCCAAAGATGGCTTTCTATTCAGTAACACTAAGCGTCCTCTCTAAACAACCTACACACAATCTATATCCCCACTCTTAGTGAACATTTTCTAGAGGGCCATGTCAAGAACGACCTATTGTAAGTAGAGAAATATCTTTGACATCAAAATACAAAGTGTGAACGGGAAACTTGATTGAATTCATTGGGAAACCAACTACAATATACTAATGAAAAGAATGATCTGCTTGGGGTTGTAGCTTTGACTTCCTGGATTGGCAAGTGTCCAGTCAGTATTTAAAATAGTGAATTATGAACACATGCAACATGTCTGGGCCATTACCTGCTCTCAGTGCAAGTCCAGTTTGTCCACATTGACTGGCGTGAAAAACAGCTGTGAAACATGGTGGGAAGTGGAAAGGTAGGTGCTGAACAGAGATGAACTTGACAGCGCAACACATATGAAAGTCAGGGAGGGAGATTAAGGGAAATTGACGTAAAGATACAATAGGGACTGAAGACCAGCCTGCTCCTGGAATACAGTGAGAGGTCTCTGAAGAATTTTGATCAGTCTGCCATTTAGTACAGGCTTCCACAAGAAATCATACAAATAGGAAAAAACAATCTCCTTGTAACCCAAAATAACATTTTTGAGTTTAGATAACTAGAATTGAAAGCTCATGCTGCACTTGCCTTGGGTTATCTTTGCGGTAAGGTGTGTAGAGCATCTATCAGATCTGCCATTTATTAATAGGCTAGAAGGATAATGTCATGTAGATAATGAAGGAAGACTGGATAGAGAAAAACAGAGTGGATATGTCCTATTTTTGTCTGAATCATTTCCATCGGACCCTGTGCTGGTTGGGAAGACAAGAAAGTCCAGTTCTGTTGGAAAATGTTGCCATTTTCCTTGTTCTGCTTGGTCCCAGAGGGCAACACTGAGTGCAAGATCCAATAAGTCAAGTTTAAGTTTGATGCCAGGAAAACCTTGCCAAAATTGAATAGACTGCCTTCAAGATGGCAGGTTCTCCCTCACTAGAGGAGGTCGGCAAGCAGAGGTTGCATGAGCCCTTAACGGGGATCATAACATTATAGGATCACAGACTTGGAGCTGGGATTGACCCTAAAGATCATCTAACCCAATGTCTTCATTTGACAGATAAGGAAACTGAGGCCTAGAAACAGATGAGGAAACTGAAGTCTGTTGCTGAAGGTCATCAGGTGATAAGAAGGAGAGCTAGAACCTAAGTTCTTGACTTCAGGTTTGGGTTAGCCCAGATAGTCTCTTAGCTCCCTTCCAACACTGAGGGGCTATGATGCTAGAGAGCTAGGAAGCTGACAGCTTCCCCCATCCATCTCTCTCTAGTGATTACTTCCATCTTCTTTAGCAGCCTCAACATCCTCTAACTTGATACTTTTCTGATTGCCTTATCAGAAGGCTTTATCTGGCCTTATTGGAGGACTTCAATTACGTGTCACCCAGGCTTCATTACGTGTCACCAGGACACTTCCTTGTCAATCAAAGCTCATTTTACAAGTTAATTAAAGACTTAATAAAAGGAAAGATACAATAAAAAATGTGACTGATCCTAGGATTCATCATGAAATTTCTTATACAAACAAGAGGGCAGTAGGTTTAGTCTCTATGTCAAACGTGATAGACTTTTGAAGAAAAGTGCTTCTGTTGTTCGTAGTCCTGCCCTCATCCTCTACTTTGTTAATGTTTGCCCATTGTGGGGGCTTCATTTTTGTCAGTAGATCTCCTTTTTCCCATTCCTTGAATGAATAAGAAAGCATTTATTAGGTGCTTACAGTGTATTATGCCTTAAGCACTGGGAGTACAAATAGTAAGGCAGAGAGAGTCCCGGCTGTCAAGGAGCTCACGTTCTAGTATAAAACATGTAAGAGTTTTAACAGCAAGTCACATGGGAAAAGCCCACGGTCCTTAGGGTGCAGAGGCAAAGTCGGGTCGAGTCTCTTCTTTCATGTCATTTCCACTGATAAAATCATATCTGTTTCTGATGCTGCACCATTTGACGATACCAAGGACATTGGTGTTGAGGATGTTCTTTTGAAGGTCTTCAGTAACTATGGTTGTTGAGGAGGCAGGGGCTTCAACACCTGCAGAAGCAGTTTCCAGGTCACATCTCCACAAGGATTGTTTGCTGGAATTATGGTTGGGCTGGAAACAATACCAGTGATGTGGGCAGGGGGGTAGATGGGAGGGAATGGCTCAACTCTTGGGGCTCTCAGGCTTACCTGTCCATTGGTGGTAGTTGGTCAATGGTTCAAGTAACCTCAAAGTTTATTGTTAAGGCCAGAGGAAGCACTTCCATCCCAAGCCCTCTTGGATTTAGAAGTCTGCATTAGGTTCTGAAGGAAGGTGATAGTTGAGGGGGTGGTGGTAGTGGTTGTGGGAAGCATGCTATTAAAAGGATTCTTATACAGTTGAGTTAAATTACATGGACTCAGAACTCCCTTCCAGGTCTGAGATTCTGTGGTTCTGTGGTTCAGTGAGGTTTGCAGTCCACAGAACTTCTTGCTCTTACCCTTCCCCATGGACCTGATAAATCTGCAGAAATACCACCACCGAGGCCAGTAGAATATCATCCATAACCCACTAGAACAGTAGAGCAAGATGGGACAGCCATTTAGCCAAAGCAACTTAAAAGATCAATAACTTTTGAGATAGTAATATAAAGATTGAAGATTTATGTGGGCTTATTTCATAGCCTGGTTGCAGATAGGTGGCACGTTGGATAGTGTGCTGGGCCTGGAATCAGGAGGACCTGAGTTCAAATCCAGCCTCAGATACCGACTAGCTATGTGACCCTGGGCAAGTCACTTAACCCTGTTTGCCTCAGTTTCCTCATCTATAAAATAAACTGGAGAAGGAAATGGAAAATCACTCCAGTATCTTTCCCAAGAAAATCCCAAATGGGATCACAAAGAATCAGACACAACTAATAATCATTTTCAACAAAAAAATGTATATCCTGTTACTTTGCTGAAATTATTGTTTCAGTGATTTTTTTTTATTTGACTCTATGGGGTTCTCTAAGTAGACCATTATATCATTTGCAAAAGTTGATACTTTTGTTTTTCTTTGTCTATATTTATTCCCTCAATTTCTTTTTCTTGCCTTATGACTACAGTTAGCATTTCTAACACTATACCGAGTAATAGTGGTGATATCAGGCACCCTTACTTTACCCCGATCTTATTTACCCCGATATAGTTTTTCAACTTTATACCTAATACTAGTAGTTTTAGAGATGGAAAAGGTCTTTGAGAATGCCCCCTTATTTTGTGGATGAAAGTTAGGCCAGAGAACTTACAGGTTCTGTTCACCTCACAGTCACAAAGACTTGGTTTGAGTCTCTTCTGAAATAATTACCACCCGTGCAACTCTGGGAAAGCCCCAAAATTGCTCTCAGCTTTGGGTTCCTCATCTGTAGAATCAGTCAACCAACAAGCATTTATGGTGTTCCTATTATGTGCTAAGCTAGGTGTTGGAGAATACAAAGACACAAAGTGGTCCCTGCTCTCAAGAAATGTCCTTACAATCTGTCTGGGGAGACGAAGTGTATAGATAATGGTGAGATGCAGAGTGTACATGTGTGTCAAATGGGGATAACAATTAATTAGTCAATCAGTGATCATGTATTAAGTACTTACCCCATACTAGGTCACAGTACTAAGCCTAGCAGTTACAAAGAATGGCAAAAAGTCACCCATCCTTAGAAGGAGCTTTCATTCCAGTGGATGCCTTACATCACAGAGACATTGCCAAATACTATATGAATGTCAGGTATTATCATTACCCAGTTACGGTGGCAGTAAATGGTAGCACTTAGATATGAACTGAGGTTCTCATACTCCCAATCCATCATACTTCACTAGAAGTATATTCTCTTTTCCTGTCTTGGGATGCAAATACCCTGAGGGAAAGAACTGTTTCTTTCTATCCCCATAGTCAGGGCAGTGCCTTGCATATAATATATGTCATATATTATTATATAATATAATATATGTTCGTAGAATAATTAAAGAAAGGAGTGCAGTAAAGGGACTGAAGATAAAGAGGAGAGAAAGAAAGGGATGGACATGGTCATAGGTGAATTGTTCAATAATTCGTATTCAGCATCATCTCCAGGACCTTTTTAGATTCTCACCA